GGGCCCAGCTTACATTTGCCCAGAAACCGGGCCGGGAGTACTGGATCCAGATTCCGGGATTGTAAATAGATCTGTAGGTCCATCAGTGACCACCAATGGTCTTCTTAGCCCATCTGTAGTTTTTTATAGTGCGTCACTCATGCAGAACCCAAGAAAGGTGTCCAATTAAAAACAGATTATATATGTATGTATTTGTATAAATTTATTAATTATTTCTTAAAAAATGATTCAATTGATGTTTGTTTTTTGAACTTCGATTTGGTCATTTCCAACTCGTGATGGATAATTAATTGGAAAAAAATAGGCTAGAAGCCTTTGAGATGTGGTGCTACAGGAAAATGCTCAAAATACCATGGACTGAGAAGGTAACGAATAAAGAAGTATTAGACAAAATAAAGGAACAACGACAAATATGGAAAAGTATTCAATCAAGAAGAGGCAAGATGATAGGACACATTTTAAGGCATGAGAGTTTATTAAAGAAAATAATTGAAGGAGATGTTGAAGGACACATTGCAAGAGGAAGACCAAGAACAGAATACATGACACAGATAATGCAGGATACGAATAAGGGAAGTTACAAAGACCTGAAGGAATTGTGCTACGATAGAGAAGCATGGAGAGCTGCAACAAACAAATCTACGGATTTATAACAAAAAAAAAGTTGGGCTGGGGCCTTGGGCCCCTGTAGGCTGTAGTATATGGGCTTCAGTGATCAACCACCCCCACCATTGGGTAGTTGTGCTACTGTAATTATTATACGCAAAGATATATGTATACTATGTTATAAGTTATAACCTATAACAGTTATAACCAACTCATTATCAATTTTACCCACTCCTTAAAATAAATCGAGTTAGTGTATTTTGACTGAATTCTGTACTTATATTATAATCGCTTATATTCACTTGTGCAATTTACAATGTTGACTGTTGTATCACACTGTTATTACACACGCAGAAACGCAGAACGTATGATTTATAATGAAATCTAGGTACTATTTTGTGAAAATCTGTATATTATATAAAAAGACTTGTCCCGGGTGATTCATCATCACCTAGCCGGAACTGCTGAAGCTATGGATATGAAATTTTCAGTATATGTACAGGGTCCGTCAGAACAAACGCATGTTTTTCGAAATAATACTACGCTAAAAGTAATTTCCGTAAAATAATTTTTATTACATAAAAAAATGTAGAACCATATGCAATTTTTTTTTATTGTAACCTTTGTAACAAAATTTAAGTTTTGAAAATGATGTCAGTCATATGGCGGCCTTGAGACCCAATGCAGGAATGCAGGCGCTCCCGAAACGAGCCCATCGCGTCGGTCAGCATCTGTCCCGGAACTTCACCCTGAGCTTCAAAGACGACATGTCAGTATTAAAAAAGTGTGGTTTCAACAAGACGGGGCAACATCACACACAGCTCGTACCTCAATGGAGGTTCTTCGCCAAAAATTCCCCGGATGTCTCATTTCACACTTTGGTGACGTTCTGTGGCCCCCTCGCTCCCCTGACTTGTCATTGTGTGATTTTTTTTTGTGGGGTCACTTAAAATCAAAAGTCTATCAATACAAGCCACAAACCCTAGATGAATTGAAGAACGAGATCACACGAGTTGTGGGTGAAGTTCCGGGACAGATGCTGACCGACGCGATGGACTCGTTTCGGGAGCGCCTGCATTCCTGCATTGCGGCTCAAGGGCGCCATATGACTGACATTATTTTTAAAACCTAAATTTTGTTACAGTAAAAAAAAATTGCATATGTTTCTACATTTTTTGATGAAATAAAAATTATTTTAAAGAAATGACTTTTAGCGTAGTATTATTTCGAAAAACATGCGTTTGTTCTGACGGACCCTGTACTTATTACTATGTATAGGCGCACTATGAAAGGATTTTTCGAAATTCGCATTTTAAAGGGTAAAAAGAGCATAAAATAGTTAATATTTATCGGGTGGTGAGGGGTTCGCGGTACGGCAGCCGTCGACGCGCGGTGGCTAGACGTGGCCGCCCAAATTTCCCCTTCCGTGTCACCGCCGCCGACACCGCGCACCGCCGCGCCGCCGACCAGCCCGAAAATAAACCGAACGACGAGCAGACAGATAATAATATATAGATACCTAAGTCTCGGATACTCAAAACCTTATCGGTAACACATTATAATTATTAATTTCGATTTTAAAATAACACGCAATAATCGACGACGCACACAGGTTTTCAAAACAGGAGTAGTAAATAAACACGTAAACTTATTATAATATATTATTATAGTCAAGTGTTTTACTTATTATTGTAGTATTCGGCACATGCTGTGAAGTTGTGATATGTCTTTAGCGTTTACGCATACACAAGGTGTTTTACTTATTATTTTTGAATAATAACGCGTCTTCGTATACGCACACTTACCTACATACTTCATGAACGGTTTTTTCTACATATTGAAATGTATTAAAATAACATGAAGTCGTGAGATATCCTACGCGTTTACACAACGTCTTATACTTTCAATTATAGATACCTTTAACATATGACATTTCTGTTGTAAATTATTTTTGATATCATATTGTCGTATTCGGCACACGCTGTAAAGTCGTGAAATATCCTATACGTTTACGCATACACAAGGACAAGGTGTTTTACTTATTATTTCGAAAATTAATGCGTCATCGTATACCGTATACGCACCCCAGTTTATTTACGGTTCTTTCTAAACATTGAAGTGTATTAAAATAAAATGTACATACTGACAAATTAATAAAAAAATAATTAATATGGTTGTCGAATTATTGAACATAAATGGCACAATGATGCCCCACAGTGGCCCACACTATCATTCCAATTATTGGTGACGGAGCTTGCCTGTTTAGGGCAATATCTTTTTTGTCACGCCTGCACCGAAAGTTTAGTTTTCGACCATGGTTGAAGCGTTCGAAAGCGTCCTTTTTCCGTCCAGCGGGCGGTAAAGTGGAAATCCCCAAAAGTGCCGGGCGGAAAAGAGGAAATCCCCAAAAGTGCCGGGCGGAAAAGAGGAAATCCCCAAAAGCACCGGGCGGAAAAGAAGAAATCCCCAAAAGTGCCGGCCGCCGGGCGCGTATCCCCTGCACAACCAGAAAGTAAAATGTATACCTACCACGGTTCTTACAAAACATAAACTTTTGGTTACATCTTAAATGTATAGTATAAACTCCTTGCATGACGCATAGATCCCTGCATAACCTTTTCCATGAACGCAGGGGCGTGACAAAAAATAGTATGTGTGGCTCGCGCGGGAAGGCCATTTCAGTCTTGTGCGAAATGCGGCACTCGCCTACGGCTCGTGCCGCACACGACGCCCGCGACTGAAATGGCTCACTTCCCGCCCTTGCCACACAATATACTATTGTGTAATATGATACTCAAGATAAGGCCCAATAAGTACGTAAAAAGATAGTAACCTATGTGATAAATAATTGGGAAGATTATTCAATAATGTCACATGATAGTGATGGAAATAATTATCGTAGTTCTGCTGACTACTTTACATAGGGTTGCCAGATGATGTGTTAGTCGTATAGCCAGTAGAGCGCGTTCAGGTCGCCCAAAATAGCCATTATCCCAGATTAGTTATGTAGCCCAATATAGCCAAATTCTATCTATGGCTACACGGCAAAACGTCGTAAATCGAAAAATTTTTTTCTTGGATGCACTGCATTTTGATATCATAATATCTTAATATTGTTCCCGGGCATCGAGATAGATAAACAATACAATAAACAATTGTTTATCTATCTCGATGTTCCCGGGTTATTCTGTGCCTGTATTTTCACATGATAATATTGATAATACACAATTGCACTAAATTGCCAACGCTTAATTTATACTTTAAATTAATTATTAAAGTATATTAAATATTTAATATTATACGGACTATAATATCTATAATACATAAAGAAAAATTATTTTTGTTTTTAATCCAATCATTTTTTTATATAACAAATAATAATATATCAATAGGAAATCAATGTATTGTAAAATAAATGTAAATTAAATAAATCAAATCAAAAATCAAACTAGGTAGGTACTCCATAGTCTATAAGTATTGTAAAATATAATAATTGTATAAAATAATACTCATTCAGTCAGGTCAGGTCAGGTACTAAGTTCACTATTATAATATAAAAGTAAAATTCAAATTTGCCGCGCCTGCAGCCAACAGAATACAGATGTTATTATTGTTATCAATTATTTAATTTATTATCAACTAGCTCTAAGTGTAACTCGGGATAACACCAGTGCTACGACTATATTGTAATGGGATTACGCAATACCATATATTTGCTCATAATAACAACCAGGAATGCGACCACACCCAAAAGTGTTTTCGACTACGAATACCACTTTCATAATCGTGAGGTCCATATCAAGGACGACTGTACACGCGCCGCTCACTTTCAAAGGACGCCGCCACCATATATATAGGGGACAGCGAGACAGCCTGAGTTAGATGTATCCAGAGACGAGAACACCACACGTCTCGCTCAACCGCCCAGCCATTTCACACGACTTACACGGAGATTATCAACTTCGGAACGAACTACAAATTCACTACAATCAACACAATTATTCTGCTTGTTTTGTCTGGTTTAATATAATACATTTGATTACCATTCTAATTGACTATTATTATTTATCAAGTACACCAGCTTTTGGATCCCTGAAGGGCCGCATGTAACAATATACTACTATGAACTTGTATTACTCCGAAAAAAAATTTTTATTGTCAACCATAATACTGCTCCGATATCAATTACTTCGAACATAATATATTACTACGATATTATATTATATTACTCCGACATATTAGGATCACAGATTTCTATATATTACTAGATAGCGAACTCCGGTCATGAATTGAAGCTTCAAGGTCGGTTGGCAATTGTATGGTATTTCATATGACAAATAAGATGATATTATGATTTATTTTATATCGTATTTTATTATTTTTAAACATTTAGTTTACAAAAAAAAAAAAATATTTTATATAAGTCATTTTACATTTACCATTTTATTTGACCGTTAAAAAAAAATTATTCCTAATACATTTTGTATAATAAATGAAATGTTTTGCCAACCGACAAAATGGCGGCCGTTCACAGCTGAGCTTCATTTGTAACAATGTAAATTG